GCGTAGAGGAATGCGGTGGCGACATCGATTCATCGCAGTTGAAGTTGGTGGGTGGCGTCGACGACGAGGAGAATACGGAGATAAGTGTGGAGACTGACCGGAGCGAAGGTCTCGGTGTAGTCACTGCTGTGCTGCTGGTCGAAGCCGCTAACCACCCATCGTGCTTTGAAATGTTCGATGGTTCCATCTCCCTTGGTCTTCACTCAGAAGACCCACTTTCCGGAGAGGATTGTCTTCCCCTTGGTCTGGGAAATTGGAACAAATTTCCGAGTGTTTCTCTCATGCAGTGCCGCTAATTCTCGATCCATTGCCTCCCTCCATTTTTCCCTGTGTGGTCGTTGCAATTCTCGCTTGACAGTCTTCGACTCCTCGACTGGCGGCGGTGAGGACGGTGGGTGCACGGCGGCTACGAGTCTGAGGATTTGCAGGCCAGTCTCGGTATACCGGGGGAGTCTCTGATCCTCGGGATAGTTTGCTTCATCTCCTGCTTCAGGATCAAGTATGAAACCTGGTCCAACTCTTTATGAAACGTTGGTGTCGATGCTGTTGGGTGTTATGTAACCAGTGTCGGCCAAGTGGTAGTATGCTTTAGTGTGCGGATAGTACTGTACCATGCAGCCGAACACTCGTAACAATTTTGTGCTGCCCTGCTTCCCTATCCACAACAGATGCGATGATGCGTTGTTTGGCAGGGAGCTTGATGACAGAAGATTCTGCAGCATAACGGCGTGGTTCGTCACCTCCGGCCACTGCATGTTGGGCAGGCACATCCCAGTCAGCAGCTTCCTCATGGTGTTCTGGAGGGTTCTGTTCATCCTCTCTTCTACACCATTCTGTTGGTGAGCTTAGGGGAGGGTGACAAGCCTATTGATTATTCTTTCAGCGAGGTAGTCCTTGATTCGCTATGACTGATATTCCATCGTCCCGTCTGACTGAAAGCATTTCAGTTTCGTGTCTCCCTCCCATTTTGCTGCAGCAAGCCATGCGACAAAGGCAGAGAAGGCAAGGTCGTGTGATGGTAGGTTAAGATGCCAGGTGTACCGTGTGGCGGCATCGATCAAGGTGATGACGTAGTTGAGATCGGCCCGGCCGACTTCTCGCGGGATATACAGTATATCGCAATATACTTTTTCGAGTGGAGCGTACTTTGGTGCGCTGGGGTTGTGATGCGATGGGAACGATTGGTGAGAAAGATCTGCTTCCGGGCAGATAAAGTAGGTGCGTCGAGGTCGCCGGAGTTCACGGCTGTCGAGAAGTAGAAGAGCATCCTTGTCCATAACGTTTGCACAAATAGTGTCGAATAGCCTTGAATTGCTGGGATGTCCTAACCTTTGATGCCATATTTCCTCGCTCGCCTTGTGTCCCACAGAGCGACGGTATAGGTCCGAGTTGGCGTAGAAGGCGGAGACAGTCGCGACACTTCGATGTGCTCACGAGGATGCGCCTTCAGCTGCTCGTTGGTCGGCCGGTGGTTCATCAACGGATGACATCTCAGGCGGAGCTTCTTCGACGGGTGGCGCCGATGAAGTCCCGACGATGGGACATTCAGGAAGTTGTCGTGTCGGCGCTGGCAGTTTTGCTGGGTGCTGTGTTTCTGCTTCTTGTTCCTTTGCTTCCCGCATCACTGCTAATGCACATGTGCGTGAGGCTTCAAGAATCGTGTTGGAGTACCAGAAACCGTCGCGATCGAATCCGTGGTCAAGATCCGGCGGGTGTGTCTAGGACGTGAAGGAGATGCCACCATCGCTGTTAGTGGTCTCACGGTCTGGAATGAAGTCTGAGACGAAGACTCCGTGCTTCTAGATGGCTCTGCCGATGAAGAGACCACCCTTCTTCTGGTAGAGATGGAACTCTCGATCGAAGCTGTCACACACCAGGTGAATGCCCTTCGACATTAGCTGTATGACACTCAGTAGATTGTTGTCGAGGCTGTCGACGATGAGCACTCTTGACATTTGTAGTATCACGTTTGTCTCACTGGATTGTAACCGATTGACCCCTTCCTTTCGTGTTCGCATGTTCTGGTTGTTGGTGACGGTGATGACGACTTCTCGGCTCAGAGTCTTCTCTAGCTGGACGAAACACACCGAAGAACACATGTGATGTCCACAACAACTATCAAGAAACCATGTGTTACGGCCGGATGGTTCGTCGCAAGCTATTGCAGCGTAAGTTGGGTTTGGTTGTAGGCGGGTTTGTGTTGGAGCGGGGGGTTGTTCGTCGAGATCGCTGTGAGGCGGTTCGGGTACGCTGAAGTATGTTCGTGCCATGCAGCTGATGATATTTCTTGCGTCTTGTGCAGAGCGGTTCGCCGGAGCTGGTGGGCGCTGCTGAGTGGAAGCGACCAGACTCGGTGACGGACGTGGCGCTCGAGGTTGATACAGCAGGAACTGCGGCTGCTGCTGCTCTTGCAACTGCTGCTGCCTTGGACAGTTGAAGCGTGAGTTTTCTGCCGTGCGGCATCGATGACAATACGGAGGTGAGTGTCGTTTGTGATGGTGATTGTTGTGGTTGTGCCTGTGTGTATAAAACGCGAGTTGCTAACTCAGTTTCTTGGCGTGTCAATCTTCGTACAGGTCCATGTCTCGCTGCTCCGCATGGTGCTCCGCGCATAGGTGCATCTCGGAGATCCTCCCGTGAGCACGTAGAAGGGAGCGCATTGTACACCACTGAGGACCAAGACCAGCAAGGATGACTGTGACGAACGATTCCTCCGATAAGTGTCCTCCGCTGCGTAGAATCTTGTTACGTAAGCCTCTACAACGATTGATGTACGTCATCACGTTTTCTCCTGGTAGCATCTGGATCATTGTGAGTTGTGGCATCAGTCGGCTTTGAGTCACGCTGTTGGTTGCTTGGTAGACGCTCTTCAAGTGACAATATGCCAGTTCGGCCAAGTTGTCGAAGTTGCGATACGTGCGAATGCTTTGTTGTTCTGTTGCTGTGAGGTTGCGCAAGAGGATGGTGAAGGCCATCAGCGACTGATAAGTGTAAATCTTCTTCTCTTGAGTAGTCCCATTTACAGGGAAGGGCCAGGAGCCGGTGAAGAAGCCGAGGATTTGCGCGCTGTCCATTAGCAACTCAAACTCGAAGCTCCAGGCGAAGAAGTCCTTGCCGTTGGGTGAGGACGTCTACAGTTTCAGAGTGTTGTTGAGCTGTTGTTGCATGGTGACAATGTCTGACTGCTTGTCGGCTGTCTCCGAGTCCACTGCTGGCGCTAGAGTCGACAGGAAGGTAAACGAGCCTGGCAAGGGCTGGTCAGGTTGATGCTGTGTAGGTTGTGCATCGAGGCTCATTGGAACTGCTCCATTGTTGTTGCTGTGTGCCGATTGAGCAGGTGCCGAAGACCGCTCGTAGGTCGACATGGGAGAATAACTTCTCCATGAGGTTCGTGTCCATGCTTGAGGAGGAGGCCACTGGTTGCGTGGAGGCTCCTGCAGCGGCGACTGCCTCAGTTTGTAGTCCAGTACCTCACCATGCCAGACCCATGGTGGACCCGGGCTGATATGGCAGACTACGAATGGGAAACACGCCCAAATGGCACGGCAACGGGATTGCAAGAGAGAAGGAAAAGGATGGGGCTGGCATTGCATGGAGCTCACCTTAAGCGTCCTCGTTGTAGTGGTGCAGTGAATAGGCCCTCTATGCGTTGCGCGCCATTTTCTTGGCACTCACGTAGAGTGGCGCAGAGCATGGTTGTGCCGATGTGCATGACCGCGGGTAAGATCCTGCGCCGGATCGATGGAATGCCCATCGTCGTGGTGCCACCTGCGAATGAATGCAGGGGATTATGGGTGGGCCCGTGACGGATTAGCATGTATCGTCGTAGCTAGTTAGGGTGGTGATGCGTGTTGTGTACAAGGTTTCCCCTAAACCACAGAGAGCTAACACCGTGGTTCTCGTACCTGGCGGCGGATGCACCGCTCGCGGACGTTTTGCAGCGTTCATGAGATTTGAGTTGTCGGCCCTGCCATCCCCTCCTTTGCGCCTCCCTCCTCCGTCCAGCACATGGGGTGTTACGCGATCTGTATCGTTCAGGGCAGGGCCCGTGTACTTGTACCACTGCGACAGGAGTATTTTTTCACTGCCGCTTCGCTTATGCTGTTGCCCTTCTTAATGTCACGCCAAAGGGCACGCAGTCACACCCACTCCGCACGGCACACTGCGCTGCTGTGATCAAAGCCTGAGCTCTTCTCCGTCGGCGTGTGGCGCAAAAGGGGCCTTCTTAGGAGGCGGCTCCTCTTCCTCCTCTTCGCCGGCGTTGTCACACTCGTATTCTGGCTCCTCCTCACCCGGTTCGGGTGGTTCGCCGTCGGCGCCGTTGTTGGAGACGATCGGGATGCTGCACGCCTTAAGCGTGGTTTTTTACTGCATTAGGAGCGTTGCGACACGGCCTCGGCTGAGTTTCGGCTTAGCCTCCTCCGTCGCGACGGAGCTAGACGCCGAGATGTGGCGCAGGATGCAGGATCCCGCTGCGCCTGCATCGATCTGTTTGTTGACCCACTTAAGATAGGGGGTGTCACTGTGGCTAAACGGGACACCCCCGGGTGTGTCGCTCGGGGGTTACCGGGACATTCGTATTTGTGGTTTTACACTTGCGCGGGCGAGAACTCGAATGTTTCTACAGAACTAGATACTCTAGTGGGACTTCTGTCTGTGATTGCCACGTTCACAACTTGCTTTATGGCTCCGCAGTAGATGGCTTTCGCTGTGGTGACTGAAGCGTGTGAGGAGGCTGGGAGGGACGTGTGTTCTTCTGGCTTGGCGTTGGTTGGCATCATAATTCTGCGCGCAGCATCGCGCCTCGCATGCCGTGTTCGTTTTAGTGCTCATTGCATCTTTTGGTTCAGGTTCTCGTTCGCTCCTGACCAGTGGTATGGCCAGTCATTTCGTCTCTACGGAGTGGCACGCGTCCTGCATGCGGCACGGCGAGTGTTGTTTGCGAACGTGACTGTGTCGACCAACCAATCGCACGGCACGTGTGTGAACAAGCAGGCTCGTGGTCCTGGTACTGGACTCGGTAAGAATCCGCAATCAAGGTGTTCAGGAACCCGTGTTGAACACCACTCCGTAGGAATGCTCTAAGATCCATCATTTGTCCACAAAACACAACGGCATCGGGAAAGCGCGAGATAACCTGGACTACGTACAAGACACGATTCTGTGCGGCAGAACTAGAGGCGAGAGTTTGGGTGGCCTGTCGCTCCGGCACGCGTAGGACCAGGAGAACTGGTGGTGGTGGTGTTGTTCGTGGTGGCGGTGGCGGCTGTGGCGGTGCGGCGATGGCTGAATTGGTGTCGCAGCACTCGCCGCATGACCTTGTTGGATGCGTTGCGCGGGAGAGAGGGCACCAGCCACACTGCAGAGACCTGGGACGAGGAGAGACGGGGAGAGAGGGATAGGGCTGGTGGATCCTTGTGCGCGGCATGGCCACACCACGTGTGCATACACGTACATGGGCGGGGGGGGGGGGGGGGGGAGGGGGAGGGGGAGGGGGGGAAGTTCCTTGTATGCATGGGCGGGTGTGAGTGTGTGCAGGAGATTCTGTGTTGGTGTGAGAGGGAGAGAGGGAGAAAGAGAGAAGGCGAAGAAGAGAGAAAGATGGCGCAGAAAGTGGAATAACGTCCCCTAGGCAACAACATACCTTGAACAGCGGGTTCAACTGAGACTGAAGAGCAGAAGAAAACACCTTCCTCAGATAACCCTCTGAAGGCAGCCACTCCACCCCCCCATCCTCCACCTCACTCCTCTCCCTCCTCTCCCCCACCCCTCTTCCACCTCCTCCTCCTCCTCTCAGCACTGCCACCACCACCAGCTCCTCTGGCCCGCCGCCACAAGGCGCAACGCCAATGGCTGCAGTCTCTGACACTGCAGGGTGGGCCGTGTTGCACACGCGCTCCAGCTCCACTGAGCCCACCTGGGGAGGGAGTGTGCACAAGGTCGTAGGTGGGCAGCACGTGGGAGAGAGGCAGGCGGGCAAAGGAAAAGAAGGTGGCATCAGACCAGGGGGCCGTGGTGCGCACCTGCTCCCACTCCACAAAGCCCACCTGCTGGGGGATGGGAGGAAGAGCAGGAGGTGGGTGAGAGGCAGGGGAATTCAGATGGAAAGGCGGGGCAGCAGAGCAAGGGCACAATGGAGAATGTCGCACACACGCTCCAACTCCACTGCCCCGCCTCAACCCTCCACGTCTCTCCATTTCTCTTACATTGACCCCCTCCAGGTTCATGGTACCAGATGTGCGCTCATGCGCCCCCAAGGAACCCTCAAATAGCCCTCCACGTGCCATGTGTCACACCTCCGCTCCCCCCACGTTCATGGTGTTGTCTGTGCACCCGTGCGTCCGCGAGTAGCACTCTCACACTTATGAGGCGCCTCGAAAAGCCCCCGATGCAACTCCCTTAACCCTCCACGTGCCGTGTGTGTCACCTTTTCCCCCCAGCACGCAAGACGGGCTCACCTTGACCCCCCCCAGGTTCATGGTGTCGTCCGTGCGCCCATGCGCCCGCCAGTAGCCCCCCGCCATCCACTCCAATGCGTCTCCGTGCCGCCGCAGCCGCTGATGGGGCCATGGAGGCATCGGGCGATGATGGGGCATGGCGTGATGATGGGGCACGGGGTGATGGGATGGGGCATGGGGTGATGGGATGGGGCATGGGGCGATGATGGGGCATGGCGTGATGATGGGGCACGGGGTGATGGGATGGGGCATGGGGCGATGATGGGGCATGGGGTGATGGGATGGGGCATGGGGCGATGATGGGGCATGGGGTGATGGGATGGGGCATGGGGCGATGGGGCATGGGGCGATGGGGGCATGTAGGGTGAGGGGCAGGATGGAGAGAGCATGGGGCAAGGCAATGGAAGAGAAGAATTCAGACAAGTCATTAGGGGCACTCGAGGCGCACACTACCAACAAGACAAAACCGGAGGAGAGATCAGAGAGGCACGGAAAGTGGGAGCCGTCGCAACCACCTCGCAATTGTGGAGCACCTAAAAGGATGGAAAGCGAGAGCGCGCTGTACCTGGCCTTGGAACTCGGGCATGCCCTCAAAGTAGACCTTGTGGTGGTCCGCATTCAGAAGCTTCCACGAAGCTCCCAGCATGTGGGGCATGAGCGCACACTCCCCCGTGAGCCAGCCACTGCTCTCTGATTCACCACCGCCATCGGCACCACCAGCAGGACTCCGCACTCCCCCTCGACCAGCTCCTCTAGCCTCCCACGGATCGATCACCTTCACTCCACCACCACTACCCTTCCCTTGTCCCCCCTCCGCACCTGCGCCCCCATCGCCTTCTGCACCCAGCAGTACCGCTCTGCAACCCATGGCGGCGGTGCTGAAGCAGGAGAGCGCCTGTGGCTGCAGCATGGTGCCTGTGATGAAGGCCCCCCCGATCTCCGTGCCGCCACAGTACTCTACGATGGGCGCGCGGTAGCAAGCATGGGACATGAGCCAGAGGTAGTCCGCGGGGAGAGAAGCCTCACCCGAGGAAGAGAAGAGGCTGGGGGAGGGGGGAGATGGGGGGGAAGTGGGGGGAAAGCGCTTGACTGTGTTAACCCCCCCCCCCATCTCTGTTCCGCCGCAATACTCTAGGATGGGGGCGCAGTCGCGTGCTGGGGACATGGGTGGGAGATAGTGAGGTGGAGGGAGGGAGGCCTCGCCTGTGGAGGAGAAGACACTGGGGGAGGGGGGAGATGAGCGGGAAGGGGGGGAGGACAGTGGTTAACTGTGATGAAGGATTAAGAAAGGTAGGAGGGCAGGAGGGCAGGAGGGCAGGAGGCCAGAACGACCAAGTGACAAGGGAAAGGAAATGGGAGCATTCTGGCAGCTAAAACATATGGTTAATCTAGCGCAGCCATTGATTTACCGAATGTTGGACCAATCACAGCCGTCGGTGCATCCAGAGGCCTTCCACGCCCTCACCACGCTGGGAACCAGCCCCAGCACCGTCACTCGGGCGTCCTGAGAACAACGGCGGGGTGTGGGAGGCAACGGGAAGGGGAAGGCAGGATGCATGCTGTGGCCTTCCCCAGGCCTTCCACGCTCGCACCAGGCTGGGCACCAGCCCCAGCACTGCCACTTGCGCGTTGTGGGCACAAAAAGGGGGGAGGGGAAGGGGAGGGGGAGGAGGGCTTGGGGATGACACGTGGAATGAGGAGCAGTGGCATGCGACAAGGCCACAGTGCGATGGCTCGATGCGCTGTGCCAAGTGTGGTTCCCAACGAAAGGCTAGTGCAAGGAAGGATGTCGCCCCACTGGCACTCACAGCTGAGAACCCTACTCAACCCTCCACAGCCCCCTACTGGCTACAGCCCCTATAGGCCCCCACAACACCTCAGCGCCGTCTCACTGGCCCGCCGTTCTCACAACCCCTACACCAAGTGCACTCGCACCAATGTGGTGAACTTGTGAGAGAGCGGAGAGCCATTGTGGCGCGCCATGGCAGCACCGCGAAGCACAGCAGTGCAGAGCAGCCGGGGGGGCGTCATCCATTCCCCCGTACTTCCAACAACTTCCAACCGGATCGCACCTGAACGAACCGCGCAAAACCATGAGTGAGTGGCGAGCCGTTGTAGAGAGCAAGAGTGGCGCCGTTGAGCAGAGCGGCGAAGAGCAGCCAGGGGCCCATCATCCACCCCAGACTCGTGGGCCAGCACACTGTGTCACCCCCCTGCTGTGCTCCGCTGCCCTCCTGCTGCTCCTCGCCCCTCCGCCCTTCCATGTGCGCGCCCCTGCTCTCATTCTGCCCTCTCGAGTCCTCCTCCTGCTGTGTCCAGTGAGAATCCCCCCTTCCCCTTAGGTCGTGGTGCGCCCACGCGTCTGCAGCGGCCTTGATGGCGGAGAGCGACGACCAGGGGATGGCCTTGGGGATGCCTGGGGGCACGCACGAGCAGGGAAGAGGGGAGAACTCGTGACAGGGGGGAAGAGGGGGGCAAAGGCAGGCCAGGGGACTCGTGACATGCCCATTTTCCTCCTCTGAAAAATGACTAATGTCCAGATACCACAGCCCTGGAAGAATGCCTGCACGACCCAGCATGGCATGGCATGGCATGGCAGGGCTGCCTGTGATGGCAGGGCTGCCTGTGAGGGCAGGGCTTCCTGTGAGGGCAGGGCTTCCTGTGAGGGCCGGGCTGCCTGTGAGGGCAGGGCTGCCTGTGAGGGCAGGGCTGCCTGTGAGGGCCGGGCTGCCTGTTAGGGCAGGACTGCCTGTTAGGGCAGGGCTGCCTGTGAGGGCGGGGCTGCCTGTTAGGGCAGGGCTGCCTGTGAGGGCAGGGCTGTCTGTGAGGGCAGGGCTGCCTGTGAGGGCAGGGCTGCCTGTGAGGGCAGGGCTGCCTGTGAGGGCACATGCTGGAGACAGAGAGTTACCCGTTGTGCCGGAGGAGAAAAGAACGTTGATTGTAGCGTCCACTGGCATGCTGACAGGTGTAAAGCTGTGACTGGATGGTGACGAATCAGTAGAAGAGATGGCAGACGAGATGGTAGAATAGAGGATAAGATTTGAACCCGAAGCCATCAGTGAGAAGAAAATGAAGCACCTTAGAATGAAAGGGCCATGAGTGATACAGCTGCTGAGGAAAAGCAGGACGCAGTGCGGTGCGAAGTAGCACACCTGTTGCTCTCTCCTTCCCGTTTCCCTTGCGCCAGAAAGCTGCTCCACCACACGTCCCCCTCTCTCAAGGTTACACGTGGCACTCTCTCATTGGCTTGCAGCACAATGGCAGGCGGCGCTCCCGCCTCCACTACCCGGCTGAAGGGAAGAGAAGAGAGCAGAGGAAGATGGGGAGGCGTGCAGACATAGAGAAGGGAAGAGCTAAGCTGGAAGGAGACAGAAAGGGTAGGGAAGCAGCAGGCATGGCACGCAGCAATGACAGCAGCTTGCTGGGAGTCACCCTGGGCGTACCTGTACAGTGGGAGCAGCTTGCCGCCACGGGGAATGAAGTCCTGCGAGGGGGCGAGGGGAGGGGGGAGAGGGGATAGGGGAGAGGGGAGAGGGGAGAGGGGAGAGGGGAGAGGGGAGAGGGGAGAGGGGAGAGGGGAGAGGGGAGAGGGGAGAGGGGAGAGGGGAGAGGGGAGAGGGGAGAGGGGAGAGGGGAAAGGGCCGAGGGGAGAGGGGAGAGGGGAGAGGGGAGAGGGGAGAGGGGCGAGCGGCGAGGGATTGGAAGGGGAGGGCATTGAGTCATAAGAGTGGAAAACGGTGGAGAGGGGGTAGTGGAATTGAGAGGGGTTGGGCGTGGAGAGGTGGGGAGGGTTGGAGAGCGGCCATGAGTCATCCACTGCACACACCTGCACACTGCCTCACCCACGCCTCTTCCCCGCATCATACTTACCTCGCCCTTCTCCCACATGCATCATCACCGCGCTAATCTCCTCATTCCATCACCATCTCTCTGTCGTAACCCATGCACCCACTGCCCCACACCTGGGGCGCCACGTCCTCAGCCTCACCTGTGTGACGATCGCCTTGGCCCCGGCTATCCTCAAGCGGGCAGCAATCTCTTTGGCAGAGAAGCTGTCGGCGATGGACACCACTGCCGCCCCCGCCAGCACCACGCCCAGGTAGCCCGCCACCGCATGCACTGTCATGGGGAGCGCTAGGGCGATGGGGTCGCCTGGCTGGATGCCCCGTGCTTTTAACGAGCAGGCTACAGCTCTGGGGGAGGGAAGGCATGTGACAATGAGGCTGCGGCCTTGGCTAGGGTAACGGCCAGGAAGGCCACCAGCGCATGCACCGCCATGGGCAGGGCTAGGGCGATGAGTACGATGCAGGAAGGGGCCGCCTGGAAGGATGCCACATGCTTGTAACTCGCAGGTTACAGTCCAGCCCAGGAAGCGAAGGGAGGATAGGAGAACAAGACGAAGAGGCTACAGGCATGGGAATAACAGAAGCGAGGAAGCATGTGATGGTAAGAGTGGGCTACAGCCCTGGAAGCGAAGGGGGGAGAGGAAGCACATGGCTTTAACTGCAAGCAACCCCGAAATGAGCACGTGCCCTAAAAGGGGGATCAGAGGCATGCGGAAATGTGGAAGGGAGAAGGAACGGGTATGCAGAAGGGAGAGTGCAAGCTACAGAGGGGTGGTATGCACAAGTAACAGCAACGATAGACATGCCGAGGGTACATTACGCGAGAGCTTAGTGGGAGATGGTTATGCAGGAGACGAAGGAAAAGGGCAAGAAGAGGAGAGGACGGAAAAAATGGGAAAAAAAAAAAAAAAAAAAAAAAAGATCACTGCCCTCCCCGGGGGGGGGGGGATGCAAAAGAGAGGGCAGCAAGGACGGTGCAACGAGTTCCAGAGCCAAGGGAAGGCAAGTAGGAACTTACTCAAAGACATAAATTAAACGCACCCTCAGAGACTTTCGAAGGCTTAAACACTCTCACTTACACTGCGTGTTCCCTTAGCTCTCCAAGGGCCATGCCGTGCACCGGCCCATCCTCCTCCCACTCGTCCCGCCACACCACCGCCACCCTCCCCCTCCCTCTCCTCCCTCCCCCAACGCTCACCTCCGCCTCCCTCGCCACCCCCGCCATCCTCCCCCCTGCCTCCTCCGCCTCCCCATGCCCTCTCCCCAGACTCCCAACGCCCCCCAGGCAGCTCTCTGCAATGTTTAGCTCTGCCCCAACCAGCCAGCGCCCTCCGGGCAGGCGGAAACGTTCCTCCGGGTCATCGGGCAAGGTGAAAATTTTCTGAGGGGGCTTGTGGAAGTTGATGCCCAGGTGGCGAAGAACGATTGGCCAATAGAGCTGAAGGGCAGACGCAGAACAACAAGGGAACAATCAAGGCTCTGAGGTGCAAGTCAAACAGCCCTTGATTGCTCCAACACCCTACCTGTCGTCACTGACGTCATTCGCCTCTGGCTGACGTCACTCACCCCTTGCTGACGTCACCCACCTCTGGCTGGTCGTACGACAGTCGCTGCAGCTGCAGGAAGTCGCCCAGCAAAGCTAGGGAATCGTGGGGGCCCTTTCTTAGAAGCTTCCTGCCCTGAATGCTGTCCAGCAGGCGGCCCAGATTGGTTTCTCGCGCCTCCTGCCTGCGCGGATGAGTTGAGTTGGACGATGATGCGGCGGGGGGGAGAGGGCGAAGGGATTTCACACAAGAGTGAGGGCCTGAAGGGTTTGGAGAAGCGTGAAGTTTAGAGAGCGGTGAGGTTGTCAAGAGGGCGGATGGGGGAGCGAGAGGTGCTGCAGAGCAAGAAGCATCATGGATGCAGGGGGGCGGGAGGTGGTGGGGCTGGGCGCATATGAGTCTCGTGGGAGGTGGTGGGGCTGGGAGCATATGAGTCTCGTGGGAGGTGGTGGGGCTGGGTGCATATGAGTCTCATATGGGTGGGAGGTTCAACAAGGGACGGGCAGACAGGAGGACGGATGAGCAGGGAAGAGTGAGAGGCACACCTCGCGTGTGCACCGCCCTAACGTGCCCTCCCACCCAACCATACAACACAAAGAAAGGGAGAAAGAGCATCCAGTCGAGCGCCAGCGGAGTACAGCACAAGAATCTTCCCCTTGGTGCTCACAGCAACGGGCTCCATGCGGCGTGGGCCATGTGCTCACAGTCGTGCCACTCAGCTCGGCTGGCGAGCGCGTTGGCGTAGAGGAGCCGGGGCATGCAGCCGCGGAGGCGGTGCCAGCACTACAACGCACCATCATCACCATCGTTACACAGACTGCCAGCCGTGCGCGTGCTAGAGGTACCCGGAGCGGCTGGGCTCTCGCCACGTGTGAGCGGAAAGCATGACTCACAGCGACGGCGCCTTTGAGTGCACTCCAAGAGCTGCTGGGCTCTCCCCCTACGTCGGAGCAGAAAGCATGACTCACGGCGACTGCGTCCACACTGGGGGCGGGCGGTGCTTTATTTCGTGCCACGCGGCCAGGTAGGTTAGATCCGGGAAGCAGGGGCGTGCGGCGAGGGGGCCGAGGCCCGCGAAGCAAGTGGAGGCGCGAGTAGGGGGCTTACAGCGACGGCGCCCACACGGGCGGCGGTCCGTGCGATCGCTCGTCCCACGCGGCGAAGGCGGACGCGTACAGCAGCTCGTGCACGGGAAACGGCACCCCGGGCCACAGCAGCGCGCGTGCCACATGCTGCCATGTGGCGGGAATCGAGAGGCCGTTGGACGCGCAGGAGTGCAAGAGGGAGGAGAGGGCGCGGAGGAACGGCTCGGCGCGCGGGGAAGGAAGGCCCGCGGCGGTGAGATGGCGGAGGGCGAGCGCGGAGAGCGGAGGGACCGACGGGGGGCGGATAAGGGGAGTGGTTGAATTCGCCGCCGGGGCCATACGAAAGGAAAAGTGCGAGGCGAAACGGACGGAAGTTGAAGCTATGGTGCACCGGTGCTAGTCGCGAGACAAGGGGCACTTCAACTCAAAGCGCGCTTGTGCTAGTAGCGCACACAGGGGACGGGAGGACAGAATTGGGCGAGACTGGGCGCGGTGAGAGTAGGGGGTTGAGCTCTCAGCGCGAGCAGACGAGGTAGGGAGGATAAATTGCAATGCCCAACAGATTGAACCATGCAGCCCTGCTCCTACCCATGTTCCACTGCACGTGAGGCTTGGCCGAGTGGAGGGAACACAAAAGCCATGGGTGGGGGTGCTGCGTAACGGTAACAGACAAACGATGGAGCGAAGCGTGTTGATCCACCTCGTTATCCCTTCAGCTAATGCCACATGTCCGAACGTGAGTGGGTTAACAGCACGTCATGTGGTTACGCCACGTCATGCTGACAGCCCAGTTCCTTGGGATGACATCGATGCCATCTCGTCTTACACGCTCGCTCGTTTCCATCGTACAACTTTTATACACCGCATCATATCGTTCATGAGACAAAAGAGTCAAGCGTGAGAAACTAAAGCATTGGCTTAGAAAATCTACAAATGTGGTAGTAGTGTCAGAAGATACAAGAGTACCAGAAGATCATAACTTCTCGGCTGGGACCAGAGCTTCTCACTCTCGGATAGTCCCCCCGTCCTTGGGGGCTGGTGGGGTCAATGTTTTGGTTTTCAGATCGGATGTAACAGTACTAGGATAGAGTATTGACACACCGGGTAGACTAGGCTAGGTCACGCTCACCTAGCATGGCATAGATCTGACGGTGCTTGCAGCATACTTCCCACCACAGGTGATGGCTACAGCTCCTACAGACCCTCTCTCACCGTTTATAGGTGGCAATACCTCTATTGGAGAATATCCTTGTGATAGGTGATCTCAACATGGTTGAGGATCCGTTGCTGGATAAGTCCTTGAAGTTGGGGTCGGCAGAGGAGAACATTCGCCTCCACAGTCTCTTCGGGTCGCAAGAGCTGCAGGACGTCTTCCAGGAGCTGAATCCGATGAAAAGGGATGTCACATTCTTCCACGAAGGCTCCAGTCTGGGAAGATCAAGGCAAGGAAGTCTTATGTGTCAATGGATGAAGTAGTCCATGATGGAAAGTGCTACAAAGGACCTCAGGAAGTCCTCGTTGCTGCCTCTGCTTTCTTCGCCCAGCTGTTCTGCAAGGAGGCACGCGGAGAGGAGGGGATTCAGTGGTTCCCTACATAGGAGAAGGTTCTTTTACGAGAAGAAGAATTATCATTGGTAAGACCTTGGACGACAGAGGAGGTCCAAGGTGCGGTGGCCAGAATGGCAAAGAACAAGTCACCTGGATTGGACAGGATTCCGAAGGAACTGCTAGAGGTTCCCTGGTTCCCTGGGTGTTGACCTTGTGCGGTTAGTGGAGTAGTTCTAAGTGTGTGCAGAGATTTTGCAGCATATGAAGGAGGTTGTAATGAACCTGTTATACAAGAAAGGTCCGACCGATCAATTGCAAGCAACAGACTGATCACTCTGCTTAGCAGTACATATAAACTGCTGGTGAAGGTGTTAGCAAACAGATTAAGAACAGTCTTACACAAGATCATCTCGACGAATCAATATTGGTTCATACCTGGCAGGAGGCTGTCTAATGCTGTTGCGGCAGTCGCGGACATTGTCAACGCGGCCAAAGGCGGAGATGAAGATCGGTATCTTCTGCTGCTGGATTTTGAGAAGGCCTATGATTCTGTTGGCAGAGTACCAGTTCAATACCCTGAGGAGGATGGGGCTGGGGGATGAGTTCGTCCGCTGGGCTGAAGCTCTTCACCTTGGCGCGAGTGTCAAGATCCTCATTGATGGCTGGATGGGAAAGGCGGTGGACATGCAAAAGGGGGTGAGACAAGGGTGCCCACTGGCACCCTACCTTTTCCTCCGCGCCATTGAGCCGTTTTGCCAAGAGGCAAAGAGGAGATTTTTGGGGCTTTCCATGATAAAATGCAGTCGCATGGCATATATTGGGTACGCTGATGATACCATGCTGGTGATCAACGAGAAGCAGCAGCTTAAGAAGGCGGAACGACTCCTTGGAGATCTTGGATGTGTGTTGGGCTTGAAGTTCAATGAGGAGAAGCCAGTCTTGATGCTGCTAGGGCTGAACTCCAGATTTTGCCCTCCACTGGACCTGAAGTTCAAGTGGGCGAAGAAAAGAGGATGCTGACGGTTGCTTGGCATCTGGATTTCCTCTGAGGGTGATCTACGCCAGGCGTGAAATAAAGCGTACCAGCGAATGAGGGAAGTTTTGGGCAAGCATAGGTGGTTCATCTCACCACCTTGGCAAGGGGTAGCCAATAACTACTCGATGCTGGTGGCGTTATTCCAAGCACAGGTTTATCTGCCGTCGGAGGAGAAATAGAAATGTCTACAAAAGCTGGGGGATAACTTCATGTCAAGTGGGAAGGCGACAGAAGAAAGGGTGTTTAACCGCTGGCATCAAGAACCGATGTACCGCTCGAGGCAGGAGGTGGTTCTTGGGGTGGTAGACCCGAGGTCGAGGGTGGATGGTCTTGCACTCCGTACTATAGCAGCAGTGCTTCTAAAACTTGACCCGACTATAAGGTTGTTGACGGTGAAGGTGGCATCGCTCCCCTTGGGTTTTGCCTCCATCGTCTCCTCTTGCGGTTTTTCCTGCACCGGCGTCTCGGTGGGAAGTGGAACATGAGATATTAGTCTTTAACAAAAGTTATTATGTTTAGAGGAAATAGCCCCATCGGGAATCAGAAGGGGTCTAAAAAGCTCTATCATTTCACGATGGGGAATTTGATCCATAATATTATTAGGGACACTCGGTGCGATATTTGGGCGACAAATATAGGTATCATGATTGCCTCACACTGGACTCGCTGCATTTTTTTTCTTTTCAAAGGCACAAACGGAATTTGGAGCAAGAAATCATTATGGACAGTCGCTAGAGAATAGGGCAGCCGGGATGTCGCGTCAGCGACAATAAAAGCCTTCAAAGCTGCACCAGCATCTTGGAGAGACATGATACTGAAGCGGCTGATTTCAGAGAGAGAGAGAGAGAGAGAGAGAGAGAGAGAGAGAGAGAGAGAGAGAGAGAGAGAGAGAGAGAGAGAGAGAGAGGGAGAGAGAGAGAGAGAGAGAGAGAGAGAGAGAGAGAGAGAGAGAGAGAGAGAGAGAGAGAGAGAGAGAGAGAGAGAGAAAAAACGCTCCGTCAAGTTGATAGTGCAGACGAGTGGCTATGGGGCTTTCGGGTTATGGGAGATTGCTGGACCAGAAGGTGACAGACTGCTTTGCATGAGATCAGAAGTGGATGAGCATAGGCAGATTGTAAGCATGGGTGATCCTTAAAATCAGTTCTAACTACCAAAGAGTTGGCCCCGATGCACCTAAAGGATGGTAGGCTATTAGGACCGTTGGGCATTCTTGAGACAAGACTCATGGGCACAACGATTATCGAAGGGTCTGCTCCGTCGTTGCTCAGGAAGCTAAGGATGAACTTACTTCTCAGCTGCATTGAGAATGTACCTCAAATGGAATGTACCCCTTCAGAGTACATGGCTATCTAAAACTCTTCCATTGTGAGAGGAGAATCAAGTGACAAAGGGATTGGGGTACAGGAGTATAGCTAAGAGTTGTAGCCCCTAAGAATTGAACCTAGCTAGGCTACAATAGTTATACATATATATAGATATATTCCTAATATATATATGAATGTAAACACACCCCCTAGCCTGGTTACGGGCAGAGCCTAACAAGAAACATTAATCAAATGCAGCACTAGAAGTCTGGCCTCTGGAGTATGCAACAAAAAAGCTCAGGGCAGCACTACTAGTTTGACCACTCAGACAAGGGTAACAGGACAACCGGCATAGAGTAACACGTACAAATCTGGTATAGCATAGATCAAGATACAAGTAAGGGAGAGGCTACTGAGATTAGACCAAGCTGAGTACAGAACCGCTGATGGTCACGAGGCGTTAGGGCCTTGGTGAAGATATCAGCAGTGTTGGCCTCTGAGGTCAACTGTACCACACGAGCCTGACCGCTCTGCTGCAACTCACGCAGCAGGAAGTATCACAGCTGGATGTGCTTGGCCCTACCCTCAAGTCGAGCCTCCTAACATAGGAGCATCATGGCCTTGTTATCAGCAAATAGGACGGGCAGAGCTAGGCTGCTCACCTACAGTGACGGAAAAAACTGTCCATATCTTGACCCTTTGAGAGGATAAAATGCGTGTGTACTTTTCATACAGAGTCTTAAAAACAGGGGGCTTTAATATACTAGTATAATGCCTCCTAAGCAAGAAGAGCACATGTCATGCAGCCTGAAAGGGCATGTTTATAATGCCAAACCAACAACCAGATTCACCAAGCACTATTCGGACACTTTTGGCCAGATTTGAAGAAAGTGTTTAACAATCCAAAATCAGTACCTAGTCCACCTCCCCTTAGCCCTAACCACTGCCTTCACCCTCCTAGGCATGCTGTTGATGAGCCCCCTGCACACATCCGCCCCAATGCCATCCCATGTTTCTTGCACCCGCTCCCAAGTCTGGAGCATCCCTGTGGGGGGGTGCTCATACTTGGCAAGCTCCCTTTTGAGGTGTGCCCACAGGTGCTCAATGGGGTTGAGATCAGGGGAGGAGGAAGGCCACATGAGGACTGCATACGGCTGCTCAGCCAGCCATGCTTGCACACGGCGGCTCTTATGCTTGGGGTCGTTGTCATGCTGGAAAATTACATCCGAGGGGGTTAGACTATAGAAATCGATAGTTTGAGCAAGCTCATCATGTAAAATGCTTCTGTACAGCTTCCCATCCATGCGGCCGTCAATCTTACACATATAGCCCAGGCCATCATAAGTCATGCATCCCCATACCATAAATGACCCGCCCCCATGCTTGACGGTTTGCTGAATGTGGTGACGTTGCAGGGCCGCCCCGTCGCGTATCCACGCGTACTTGCGGCCATCACTGGAAAAGCGGTTGATCTTGGTCTAGTTGGACCAGATAACCCGCTTCCTGTCTTCAATGGTCCAGTCAAGATGCGCCCTGGCGAAATCGAGTCGGTCTCTGATATTTCGGGCAGAAAGTCGCGGCTTCTTCGGTTTCTGCACGGCTACTAAACCGGAGTTCTTCAGGGCGTTGCACACGGTTCTAGGGCATATCTTGATGCCGCGCTCCGATT